AAATGAGCGTTCTTGCTCATTTTGCCTCCGAGAAATGAGCAAAAATGGGACGGAAAACATGGAATTTTGGCATAATCTTGCACCTAAGTGTCTGACATTGAAATTTCGCTTTCTGGTTCAAAACTACTCGAATTTCCTCATTAACGTGGTTATGACTGAATGGACGGTTCAATTCTCTATTCAACAATGCCAAAACGAATTTTGTGGCTCGAATGGTTCTTGAGAAACTTTGAATAAAGGCGATTTAGTTATCTCTGGAATGATGAGAAAATGAGCGTTCTTGCTCATTTTGCTTCCGAGAAACATGCAAAACGGAAGACATGAAATTTTGCAATAATCTTGCGCCACCCTTACACAAAACGACGATCATTTTTCTAATTTCATAAACAACAGAAGACTGTATTTTTTCTACATACCCCCCCTGACTTTAAAGCTGGATCCGCCCCTGTGCATACTGGCAACCTCATGTTCATATGCAGAAAACGCCCCTTTATCATTATAAAGTATGCAGTTATGATCAAATATCTGAAAATTACCCAGACAGTTATGACCATCTCCACTCAATGAAAATCCTTTCAAGCATCCACATTTGCGGGATCCAGTCGGCCGGCAAGTGTGGGCGCAGCCTCCATTATTTTTGCTGCATCTGGTAGTAGTTTCTTTCCGTGGGGCGAATGCTGATGGAGTTCCACTTATTTTGGGTGAGCTTTCTTTTGGAGTTATCGGTTGAAACAAGTTGCGCGTTTGAATAGCAGATCGCGAATCGTTGGCGCTATTTCGTACTTTACTTGAGCCTCTTCTGCGTTTCTTCAACCTTCTTTGCCGGCGTTTTATTTTTTCTTCATGCGGCGCAACTGGAGAAGCGGTGGATTGACTATAAGTGGGTGCAACTGATGATGAACTAAGACGGATGCGTTTTCTTCGCCTGGTGCGTTTACGCAACTTTCTGGTTCTTGTAGTTGATGATGGTTTTACGGTGGAAATAGAAACGGTTGTAGTTGAAGCCTTGTGCGCCTCAGCGGCTTTTAGTGCGGTTTCATCCGAATACTCAACGACTTGTGAACATGCTCCTTCTGAAAATTTTTCTACGCTTATTGGACTTTCAGTTTTAATCGAGGCTGATTAAGCGAAATATACATATAGTGCCTTTAATGAGCACACCATTATTATTTATAGCAATGGCCATTGCCATTCTAAATTTAGCAAATATGCATGTACTTGTTCGCTAATGAAATAATTAATGCGGCAACTACTGTGTTCCTCACGCTAGATTTATTTATTAAGACTATTCAATCGAAATAGCAACCATCTAAATATTTTTTTATGTTTACATCGAAGAACCCAAGAAATACCGTACATAGAAAAATAAAATCAGTCCCTTGAGAAATAATTATACGTCGGAATATATTTTTTTTATTATAATAGCTATAACTTACCGGAAATCAGATAAAGTAACAATACAAAACCGAATAAAATCGCGCGCCACATGAATCCCATTTTAAATTAATTCTGAGCACTGAGAGTTCATCTTGAAGAAGAGATGCCGTGACTGGCGTTAAGCAGTGGTGGGAAAGTGATGTTCAGAGCGTTAATAATAACATCTAATATATTAGACGTTAAGAGGCTCCTTATTGTTATTTTAATAAGATGTATATTCAATAGACCCATAGGTTATTCTGCGGAGGCGGGCGTTGTTTGGCAATTCTTGTGGGAACTATACGATCCATGTGTTTTATTGGTGATTTTTATTTAAATCGATATGCTAATTGATGAACATCTCGGGTATTTGTAACTTATACTGGCTGATTTTACAACTTTATCAGATAATTTACGATGAGATGTTTTATGGATTTGGTAAAATTTATCAAAGG